CAATCATCATCAAACTTGATCAAGATGCTTGTCTAGGTGATAGCTCAGATGAGTTCGAACATGGGTCATCTCGGATGAAAAACTAGGTCACAGGAGCTAAAAATAGAAAAACCTTGTTAACACTCTAGTGGTCACAATTTTGACTCAATTGTCATCAAACTTGGTCAGGAAACTTGTCTAGGTCATTGCTGGGAATAAATCGAACATGGGACATCTCGGATGAAAAACTAGGTCACAGGAGCTAAAAATAGAAAAATCTTGTTAACACTCTAGTGGCTACTGTTGTGATCCAAATATTCTGTTAATTGGTCTGAAAGTTTGTTTTGATGATTTCTAAGTCAAGATCGAACATGGGTCATCTTGGATGAAAAACTAGGTCACACCGCCCAAAATATGGAAAAACCTTGTTAACATTCTAATGGTCACATTTTTGACTCAATTATCATCAAACTTGGTCAGGATGCTTGTCTAGGTAATTGCTTGGATGAGTTCGAAATCGCATGAGCTAAAAATAGAAAAATCTTGTTAACACACTAGTTGCTACTGTTTTGATCCAAGTATCCTGGAAATTGGTCTGAAAGTTTGTTTTGATGATTTCTAGGTCAAGTTTGAATATGTGTCACCTGGGTAAAAAACTAGGTCGCACTGCTCAAATATGGATAATCCTTGTTTACACTGTAGTGGTCACATTTTTGACTCACCTGTCATGAGACTTGGTCAGAATGCTTGTCTAGGTAATTGTTTGGATGAGTTTGATAAGTCAGGTGAGCGATCTAGGGCCATCATGGCCCTCTTGTTTATTAATGGAGTCGTGCCAATCAAATGCCAAAGATTAACTAAGACATTACTCAGTGAGATAAATTACATATCCCACTATGTATGACTATAAAATAAAATTAGTTAAAGTTTGATATTGCTTTGTTGTTGTCCAAAATAACTCTATTTGGACTAATTACATGGTAATTCAATAAAAACGTGTAAATCTTCCTATAAAAAATCCAAAGAGCTAGAGTTTAGGTACTAAGCATGGAATATCTTCTAGTGAGTGTCTACTTATATGGTTCAAATAAAAGCCCCTGGTTTAAACTTGGCCTTGGCCCAGGGGCCTATATACAGGTGAGCAATTTCAGTGTCATCTTGTTCATACATAGAGAGGAAATATCATTATTACTTAACATAAAAAGTGATGATAGATTTACAAGTTTCCTAAAAAGATATTATAAATTCATTACTCTAGGCAGACATGTGATTATGACAATTTTAACATAAGTATGACATGTTAGTTACTAAGATCTTAAATTGTAAGTAAGATTAATAATTTCCTAAAAGGCTTCTAAAGTTTAGTGAAAACATAGTCTTTCTCTAGAAAAGAAATCTTAATTATTATTCAACAGTTTCCATTTAGAAAAATATACATAAAACCATTTATTTATAAACACACAAAATATACATAAAACCATTTATTTATAAACACACAAAATATGAAAATACAAAGATAATCAACTACATGTATATACATTAGATTCACATACAAGCTTTTTTACAATAATAGATTTTTTTTTACTTGTGACGGAAAAGTACTTTATTAATTTGATTGCCTCCCCTTTCTATAAGTTTGCCATATGTATTAGAAAAAATATAATGATTTATTCAAAAATTTGACATGATATAAAGAGTAGGTATTTTAGGTATTTTTACAATCAAATCTGTATAACTTTAGGGTATCCTTCAAAGTGTTTATGTTTGAAATTGTTTATCTATTACTGACAATAGTTTGTAAGAGGAGTCACTTCTACTGACAGATGCTCATAAGATTTAGTTAAAATCAGTTTCAAGAAACGTTTTATTATTTTAGTCAATTAAAAGTATTGTTTTTATTCACTGTGGGGATGATGCTTTACAAGCATATAAATAGAGCCTGTGCAGTCTGAAAAATTTAGTCTGGTCCTGTCCGTTGGACAGTGGAAATGAAGTCGTAAATACTGGTACACAGAAATCTCAGATATCTGGTACTAAGGACGTTTTATGATTTCTGTAAAAATCCTTGGGCATGAATTATTTTAAGAAATATATATTTTAGTTTAGTTTTGGTTTTGGCTCCGTACGGTTAAGATCGAAGTGGTAATTATATTTACTAGTAGCCAGACATCTTAGATATCTGGTGCTAAAAATATCTTTGCTGCTTCAGGAAAAATTTTGAGAGTTGAATAGTAAGACTGCTTGTTATCCCCCGCCGAAAAGGCAGCGGGGGATATAGAAATAGTCTCTGTCCTTCCGTCCGATATTTTTGTCCGGAGCATATCTCAAATAGTATTTGAGGTATCAACTTGAAACTTCATAGGTGGATAGACCTCATTGAGGAGGTGTGCAGTGCACAAGAATAATAACTCTACCCTGCATAATTTTTGAGTTATTGCCCTTTGTTATTTTTCAAAATTAATTTTTGTCCAGAGCATATCTCAAAAAGCCTTTGAGATATCAAAATGAAACTTCATAGGTGCATAGATCTCACTCAGGAGGTGTGCAGTGCACAAAAATGATAACTCTACCTTTCATAATTTTTGAGTTATTGCCCTTTGTTATTTTTCATACTTAATTTTTCACCTGAGTGGAGCAGAAATCAAATGTGTTTGAGATGTCAACATGAAATGTCATAGGTGGATAAATCTTATTGAGGAGGAATGCTGTTCGCAAGAATGATACCTCTTCCCTTTATAATTTTTTTGAGTTATTGCCCTTTGTTCTTTTTCATACTATTTTGTCGGGAGCTTATCTCAAAAGTATTTGAGGTATCAACTTGAAACTTTATAGGTGGATAGATTTTACTGAGGAGGGGTGCAGCACACAAGAATGATAACTTACCCTGCATTATTTTTCAGTTATTGCCCTTTGTTATTTTCAGCCATCAGTATTCACATAGGTTTCAAATCTGTAATCACTTCAGCCATTAGTTTTCATTACCAAAAGACCTCTTAAAATTGAATTATTTTGCTCTACTACATATACATTCTTCCAATGAGCAAACCCATTCGGTTGGGGATGGCCATGTTAACATGGCTCTTGTTGTCCTTGTAAGAGTTGGATAGAAGTGTTATTGCATTTACTAGTAGCCAGACATCTCAGATATCTAGTGCTATAATACTTTATTGCTTCAGTAAAACCTCTTGGGCAAATGTTGGATATGGGATAGTTTATTTCGAAAATATTATTTTAAAGGATAGATTTTTGAAGGTTTGGTTTATTTGAGATGAGGGATTTTTGTTTTGATATATTAAGTGAAAAATAAGTGATAGGTTTAGGAATATAAATTTTTGTTTAAAAGTATTTTGTTTAGTTGTTTCTTGATAATTGTTGTTTTTAATAATTTAATAATTAGTTTGAGATTGTTATTTTTTGCATTTTATTATTTCTAGAGTTTTTATTAAGTTGATATCTAATCAAAAGGTCAAGAAACCACAAGAATAATTTATATTTGAAAATTTCAAATCATTTCGGATAAGTATCACAAGAAAAATTATATATTTGCATTTAAGAACATCAAGGTTTTATTTTGTAGCACTAGATAATTAATCAACCGCTCGGTACACGCTACAATCTTAACTTTTAAAGAATTTGGTGCAAAATATGTGGCATAACATTTTCACTACAGCATTCTGTAAAAGGTCTGAGTCCTCAAGAGCAACTAGGATAAAAATGAATACGTGAAAATTGAAGACTTTTTATATTTGAGCTTTTTATCCCATAAACCACAGCGGATAAGTGTGAAAAAGTCATTTAATAAAAATGACAATGCACTGGTGTAATAATTTTGTAACATGACATAATATAAATACATATAATGTAAAGTAGTTTTAACATAAGTAATTAGTTTAATGAACTTGTTAAATAAAACAATATTATGCTTGCCAGAGGCTCGCTTAACCTTTAACTTCATGAGCATATTGTGAAAAATGGCCGTTTTCATTGAAAGGCCTCCTGTTACAAGTTCAAACTGCTATGAAACTATGAATAATGCATCAATACCGATGAAACTTGGCACAAATGTTGACTGGACCATAGTCTCTGTAACAGCATGCTCAATGTTATCCATGGCAACGGGGGGATGTCTTAAAATTGCCAGAAATCACTATTTTGCATTGTTTTTTTCCCATCAAAACTGATTTCAAAGTGCTGCAATTTCTCAATGGATTGAGATAGAGTAAAAGGCTTTTCAGTGTTGGTCACACATTACCTTACGATCGACCTGAGGCAATTTTTAGCCTGTCACATGTCCAAAATTGTCTTGGATGAGGGGAGGGCGGTAGCCCCCCCTTCAAACCCTGGAAACAGAAGGGGGCACCTCCCCCTTCTGGCAACCTCTTGATGTACTTTTTTGGATTGGAGGCGGCGCCGAAAAAGTGATCACTTTTTTTATCAACATTTCTCAAACCATAAACAGTTTTGGGGCCTAAATAGGGCATTTTTTAAGGCCTCAAAAGTGTGTGTGTGGGGGGGGGGGGGGCAAAGCCATCAAAACACATCTATTTGAGGGAAGGGTTAATATAATTTTTTTCAACTCATTTGATAAATTCAGTATTGAACATTGTTACACTCATTGAATAACCTATATATCTTTATAAATTTATTGAAGAAGCTCTCCCTCAAGAAAATAAACGCACTAGTATTGGTTTGAGCAGTATTCAATTATCAGCACTAAAAGTAATCTGTGAAAATTAGGCCATTTACATTCAAGGTTTTGATGTGTTGTTGCACCAACTACATGTATCAAATACAGTTGAAATGTTGATTAGTCTTTTCTAATATTTTTCAATGTAACAGTGAATATAAAGTAGTCTGTAAAAGGTCAGTATAGATGTCAGGATGTTTCAATATCAAACTATCATCATATCAAACTATCATCATGTATTCTAGATATTAAAAAACGAAAAACAATGCAAACAATATAAATCTTTATATCAGTATACATTGCTTGCATTAAGAAACCGACGTGTATTTTTTAGGTATGGCCTGGTTATACAGCATTTCCAGATTTCTTCCACCCAAATGCTACAATTTACTGGACACAACAAGCTAAATCATATCATGATGCTGTACCATTTGATGGTATCTGGATTGTAAGTTATATTCTTTATAGTGACATGTTAACACTAAATCTGTTGAAAGTAACAATGTACATCAGATTGACAAGTTTGATAACTTTGCCTACAATATTTATAGAATTATGCCCCTTTTTAACATAGAAATTTTGGTTAAAGTTTTTTGTAAAGTCAAATATCTCAATTACTGCTTGAGATATTCAATTGAAACTTACAGTACTTATTTATAGTAACAATATACATCAGATTGACAAGTTTTATAACTTTGCCTACAATATTTACAGAATAATGCCCCTTTTTAACTTAGAAATTTTGGTTAAAGTTTTTTGTAAAGTCAAATATCTTAATTATTGCTTGAGATATTCAATTGAAATTTACAATACTTTTTTAAAGTAACAATGTACATCAGTTTGCAAAGTAGGCATAACTCTGCCTGCAATATTTTCAGAATTATATGCCCCTTTGAAACTTGGTTAAAGATCTTCAAAGATATTTACTTAAAACTTTACACATGTACTTAGGGTCATAATTGAAGGTCACATCTCAAGATTCATTACTCTGCCATGTATTTTGACTGAATTTATAATGCTCCCTTTGTAATAAAAAATATCCTTTTCTTGGTTAAGTTTAACATGCAAGTTTTGCATATCTCTGAAACTATTAAAGATACAAACTTGAAACTTCATATGTAGATTTGTGGTCATAAATAATGATCACTGAACAGCACTCATATCTGTGTCATGTATTTAGGCTGATTTATCTCCCCCTTTTTTACTTAGTCTCTTGGTTAATGTTTACATGTAAGTTTTACATATCTCAATAACTATCAGAGATTTTGATTTGAAACTTCCCACATATGCATAAAGGGTCATAATTGTATGTCACTGACCAAGTTCCATAACTCTATCTTGCATTTAGGCTGATTTATCTCCCCTTTTCTACTTAGTCTATAAGTTAAATTGTTAACATGCAAGTTTTACATATCTCAATAACTATTAAAGATATTTATTTAAAACTTCACATACATGTATGCATTTAGGGTCATAATTGTAGGTCACTGACCAAGATCCATAATTCTATCTTGCATTTAGGCTGATTTTTCTCCCCTTTTTCAACTTAGAAATTCATGGTAAAGTTTTGCTTGTAAGCTGTTATCTCCATAACTACTGAAGGGTTTGTGCCTTTTTTGGGACAATTTTCTGCATTCATAATAATAAAGCAGTGATTTACTTGATAAAACATCTTAATAACAAGCCTTTGTACCTTTTCAGTCAATTTTATGTATTCATAGGTAAGCATTATTATACTCAATAAAACATCATTGGGAACTTTTTCGAATATTTGAGCCTTACTGTCCTCCGACAGTTCTTGTTGTACTATATGGACTATCCATTAAAGGCATAGATAGCAAATTGTTTATGTCACCGACTCCTTATCATTGACCTCTCAACTCCGTGGGTCATTGCTCCTCTTTACAGCTGTGAGTAAAATACCTTGGAAGATATTGACTTTTTTTGTGTTACCTTTTGGCTGAGAGGTTCAAACCCTATTGAGGACTGTGCTGATTTCCTTGCTATACTTCAGTCAGGTTATAAAAATAGGTAACTTAGGGAACAGTATGTTTCATGGTACCGTACAATGCAGAATGAAAGATTTCTTTGGGAGATCAATTGATGGATACAATAATTATAACTGTATATGAAGTGTGATATTAGTACTCTATTTACTCACATTGTTCCTTAAAGGTGAACAATTTTAACAGGATGTTAACATGACGTGACTCAATTAATGCACAAAGGGCTCTAGGAAAGAAAAAATTGGAGTATTGTTATTTTAGCTTATGTGAACTATTAAAAAATTGTACATTCATGTTATTAATGTTCATGTATGTTTCAGGATATGAATGAACCCTCAAATTTTGTTGATGGGTCTTTACATGGTTGCCCTGAGAACACTTTGGAAAACCCACCTTTTGTGCCTCCAGGTATTATTGTTTAAGATCCTCTCTTTGAACAAGCAATTTCTTTTTTCCAAAATAGTCACATAGATAACAATATTACTTGATAGAAAATATTTGCTTTTTAAACTCATAAAGTAATTTCATTGGTTACTAATACATGATAATGCATACCTTTATATTTACAAATTTAACAATAAAACTTTCACCATTCTTTTTTGTGTTGACTCAACGAAGTAGTGGATCACTTCTTCGTCGTCTGTCTGCACTACCAAATAGAGATAGGGCGCTATCTAAGTGTAACCAGAACAAAAGAGAACAATAGAGTTCATTAGGTAACAATAGAGGAAGGACCAATGGCCCGCTAATAAACAAAAGAAAATAACAGTAAATTTGGCCCTATATCTCAATTCAGACACATGTCAGTCCGTCTGTCTGTCCGTTACAAAACTTGTCCTCATAAAGTACTGGTGCAATTTCATCCAAACTTTACAGGAGTTTTGTTGTGCATATTGTAAGCATTTTCCAGTTCAATGATTTTTGTCAGAGTTATGGCCCTTTAATGATTTTTATGCCCCCCCCCCCCTCCGAAGAAAAGGGGGTATATTGTTTTGCTAATGTCGGTCGGAATTTGGGTTGGTCTGTATGTCCATCGGTAGACCACATAGTATCCGCTGATTATCTTAAAAACTTTTTTTCAAAAAGTCTTCATATTTCACATACTGATTGGTTATAACTAGTAGATGACCCCTATTGATTTTGGGGTCCCCAGGTCAAAGGTCAAGGTCACGGGCATTAAACCTTTACCTCATATAGTTGTGTTTTGACGGCTTTTCGCCTCCCCCTTTCTGAGGCCTCTAACAGTGAAAAAATGCCCTATTTAGGCCCCAAACACTGTTTTTCATTTGAGAAATGCGGCAGCCCCCCTCATCGCCAAGAAAATTTTGGACATGTGACAGGCTAAAAATGGCCTCGGGTCGATGGTGAAATAACGTGTAACCAACGTTTAAAAGCTTCTTACTCTATCTCAATCCATTGAGAAATTGCAGCACTTTGAAATCAGTTTTGATGAAAAAAAATAACAATGCAAAATAGTGATTTTTGGCAATTTTGAGATGTCCCCCGTTGCCATGGTAACAAGAAATTTAAGATTGAGCATGCTGTTACAGAGGTAATGTTCCAGTCAATATTTGTGCCAAGTTTCATCAGTATTGAAGCATCTTTTATAGTTTCATAGCAGTTTGAACTAAAAATGTAACAGGAGGCTTTTCAAAATGGCCATCTTTCAAAAATATGCTCATGCAGTAAAGGGTAAGATGTCACAATGGTTTCCACTTATTATCTTGAAAATTGTTAATCACAAAGTCTTCATATTGCACATACTGATTGGTCATAACTAGTAGATGACACCTATTGATTTTGGGGTCACTAGGTCAAAGGACAAGGTCACAGGGGCCTTAAATGTCAGAATGGATTCAGCTTATTATATTGATTACTATTTATCACAAAGTCTTCATATTCCACATAATTATGGGTCATAACTAGTAGATGACCCCTATAGATTTTGGGGTCACTAGGTCAAAGGTCACATGGGCCTTGAATGGTAGTATTGTTTCCACTCATTATCTTGTAAGCAAGTTATCACAAAGTTTTCATATTTCACATACTGATTGGTTATAACTAGTAGATAATCCTTATTGATTTTTGGATCAATTGTTCAAAGGTCAAGGTCACAGGGGCCTTAAATGTCAAAATGGTGTCTGCTCATTATATTGTTTATTATTTATTAAAAGCTAGTTATCACAAAGTTTTCATATTTCACAGTGATTTGTCATAACTAGTTGATAATCCTAATTGATTTTGGGGTCACTAGTCCAAAGGTCAAAGTAATGGGCCTTAAATGTCAGAATGGTTTACACTTATTATATTGATTACTATTTATCACAAAGTCTTCACATGTTTCACATGTTAATTGGTCATAACTAGCAGATGACCCCTATAGATTTTGGGGTCACTAGGACAAAGGTAAAGGTCACATGGGCTTTGAATGGTAGTATGGTTTTTGCTCATTATCTTGTACTTATAATTTATCACAAAGTCTTCATATTTCAGATACTCGTTGGTCATATCCAATAGATGACCTCTTTTTACTTTGGGGTCACTAGGTTAAAGGTCAAGGTCACAGGGGCCTGAAATGTCAGAATGGTTTCTGCTCATTATCTTGGTTACTATTTATCACAATGTCTTCATATTTCACATACTGATTGGTCATAACTTGTAGATGACCATACTGATTGGTCATAACTCGTAGATGACCCCTATAAACTTTTACTTTTAATGACATCTCCTCATAAACCGCTTTTACCGGACATTACTCTAAAATTATAAGAGATATCAACATGAAACTTTATTGGTAGATAGATCCTTTTGAGTAAAAATGCAGTACAAAAAAAACATAACTCTGTTTTGCCCAAATTTTGAATTATCTCCCCTTTTAAAAAAATCTTGTCCGGGAAATAACTCTAAAACTACAAGAGATATCAACATGAAACTTTGTAGGTAGATAGATCTCAATGGGTAGATGTGCAGTGCACAAGAACTTGGATTCCGCATTGCCAAATTTTGTAGTTATTGCCCTTTGTTCATTATTACATTTTGAACTTTGTCCGGTTTGATCCCCGGGAGATGCTTTGGTAGTTTAGCGCGGAGGAAGGTAGTCTAGTACTGGTGTAACTCTCCAGGAACGATGGTTAGGAAACTACCCACCTATATGACTGAAATACTGTTGGGAAAAGGCGTAAAATGAATCAAACAAACAAACTCGGACATAACTCGGAAACCATAAGAGGTATTAACAAGAAACTTTGTAGGTTGATAGGTAGCATTGATTAGAAGTGCAGTGCAAAGAACAGTAACTCTACCTTGCCTAATTTTGGAATTATTGCACTTTGAACTTTTTCCAGGGACATAACTCTGAAACTACAAGAGGTGTACTTTCCTGTGTCCAAAACCTATTCCAGGAGCATCATCCGGCTCAAACTGGGCTCTTGTCAACTTAGAATTTACATTTAATTTTGCATAGCACCTCAGATATTTTCATATTCTATTGACATCTGGCTTTGAAACAAGTTGAAATTTTATACTCTTCTTTGAGAGCATACTACGACTCACTCCAAGGCCTATAACTGTAACATGGTTTAAAGAAAATTTTGTCCTTTTGTTATCTTAGACAATTTTACATTATCAAGGCTCTTTTACTATCAAGTACTAAGAATAGTCGAGCTCTGACAGATCTTGTTTTATGAAAATATTTGTGATTTGTTAAGATTAAACAAACAAGCAATGAGAAAAAATAATCTCAGTACCTTTACAGTCAAACTTATTTCATTTCAGATGTTGTAGAAAAGCTTGTTTTCAAATGATTGAAGAAAGTTTGCCTAAACAGAAATAATTTTTCGTGATCAAATATTTGCGAATAATTTCAATTAGCAAAAATTGCAAATATTTCCATGTAGCAAAATTTTCCACTTATTGCTGTGTTCTCACTGCTGATCAGATTAACTTGATCAAGCACAATCAAGCGATCGGGTACAGGTCTAGCTCCGTCTGCATGCGTGATTGGGGTGGTCGAAGCGGTCTACCTTGGTCGGCATGGCTCGGCTTCCTATCTGAATATTTTTGACATGTCAAAAAAATTCGAGTAGCGATTGAGTAGATAAGCGGTCGAGAAGCGATCGTATACTGATCGAGTAGAAGATCTAGTTGATCGAGAGAAAAATCGTGTAACGATCTAGTTTGGTTGGGTATACATCTCTTACACAATCTGTACACGATCATCTCGACTTCTACTCGATTTGGTCGGGCAGAAATCTGGCAAAGATCGAGCAAAGGTCCAGTTAGTCTAGTTGAGATTGTGTATGACTCGCGTGGTGAGGTCTGGGTGATCGAGAAGACGTCGAGAAGACGTCGGGATGTTGGTCGGGTTGTCGTCGAGAAGAAGTAGTTAAACATCATGTAGGGTCGACTTGACGTCGTGTAGGAGTTGTGAATGTGCATTTAATCCAGCTTTAATCCAGCTTGGTCGGCCTTCACTGGGGAATTAATGTGATCGGGACGATCCAGTTGATCTGATCGGCGGTGAAAACATAGCATTATACAGTGTGTATATATAGTAAAAACTTAAAAAATCTTCTTCTCTGAATTGACAAAGGCTAGAGGCAAAATTTTTGGCATGAAACATTATGTTGTGGAACTCTACCAAGATTGTTCAAATTATAGCCCTGGGGTCAAAACTAGCCACACCCTGGGGTCATAGGTTTTCCTTACATGTATGTAGTAAAAACTTTTTTAAAAAATTCTTGTCTGAAGGTACAAGGCTTAGAGCTTAGATATTTGATATATGATATCATCTATAGGTCCTCTATGAAAGTTGTTTAAAATTGGCCCCTTATAATAGTGTCAAAATAGCCCTTGGGGGTGGGAGGTCATAGCTTTTCCTTATATGTATATAGCAGAGCAACAGATAAGCTTTGAAATTTAATTGGGTATTACTCCATCATTTCCTTTGGAATTGGGTTTTGGCTCCATTTAATTGGGTATTCCAAAACTCAATACCCTATAATTTTAAAGTCAATTGGGTATTCAAATATGAAGATATGAATTTTATGTTTTTTTAACTGTTTTAAAAAGAAAATAGGGGCTACTTACTTAACAATTTACTAGAACTTTTAACAGCTGTTTAATGTTTATATAAAAATGCACATGTCAGATCTATGCAAGACTTCAAATAATAAAAGTTAAGTTGCTAATGATTACATGTCTGCATGTTGTCACTGGAAATCATTTATCCTTAGCTGCATCATTTAACAAATACAAGTACGTCATTTTATAACAGTTTTGTAAATCTACCAGTTTTAACTGATAAATAATCCATCATATTTTGTACTAAGTATTTAACTAGATTTATTATCTTTTTCAAATAAAAATATCCTAAGTGTAATTATGCTCTTAATGATTCTGTGTTCATT